TTGAATGCAAATTTAAATTTACCACTTGTTAAGCTTTCAAGGTACCCCAACACGAATCACAAAGTCACAAAAACGCTCGCACACATCACATCTCACAATTAACAGCATTCTTTCGCTGTTACTAAAACTTGTCAATTATTTCTTTTAGTAAATTGTCTCCAGTTTACTAAAAGGGCTTAGTAAATGATGGATGACATTCATTTTGTCATTTGGACAGACCCAATTTTTTTTCTAAACAAATTTATGACAAATTTATTTTCATTCATTTCATTTATCCTTTAAGTGGTCAATCTTGGGAAATGATTCATTTTGATCAAATTCAATCAATTATATGCCAAGAATAAATTCATACCGGTCAATTTGATCGAGTCGCAAGAACATTAAATGTCAGAGAAGGATTTTTATTTTATTTTATTTTCCTTTCATTCACATCATAAAATAATCGCAATAAATAACTAAAATCAACAAACTGCTCCTAAAACCAATAAATCCATCCACCGAATCATATGCAATTAGTCATTTGCTGGTAGATGGGTCATTTTGCATCTGCTTAATTTTCTTCTCAAGCTGTTCCGGCTTCTTCTTCTCCAAATGTAGCATGCGCAGTGCAAAGGCCCGATTACCGAGTGGCAGCTCCTTGTAAGCATACTGCACGTTTTGCGTAGTGGTATGCTATATTTCCTTCGCCGGGTTACGCAGTTTTTTGGTGTAACCGATTTATTCGGCAGAACCTTAGAAGATTGTTTTCATTTTCTGATCATTAAATATGTTTCTTATTGAACTATTAGAAAGCTTTTTTCGCTAGAAGCAAGTTTCATGTGTGGAAAAATATTGAGGAATTTTCACCAAATTTCTAGCTAAATATGATTTGCTAATAAAAATCTCACTTTTAATTTAGTACCAATTCCACGACAAATTGAGCATCGGCGTTTTTTGAGTTTGTAATCGCCTCAAATATCAAAGAATATTATTGCGTTCGAGTGGAATTTGTTTCTTACCATAAAAATTCTTTTTCGGCCATTATTTAAGCGAAAATTATTTTTCACTCTCATTGCTATGCTATAGTGAACTTTTTCAAATGTTCTCAGTGAATATCTCTTCTTATGAACAATCGATGTACTATTTCAATGACGACTCAAACCGAGCCCCGATGTGATGATTGTAACCCAGTCCCGAAGCAGCCATAATCCGATTCATTTCCCCAACAAATAGTCGCAATCCTTACCGCTCATCGTGGTATCCGAGTTAGAATAATCCAAAGTGATTAATTAAGTAGTTTTTTTCACCTTTTATACCTTTATAATATGATGCATATTGCAATTTGAATATATGCAAAGAAATTTATTTTTCTTCAGCAATGATGATAATTTTCTTTCATAAAATTAGCATATTAAAATAGAGAAAAAGTGCTACTCATAATTTGCCTAAGTTTTCCATTCATCAAATTTTCTCGTTC